AGAAATTTAGGTGTAAGGAGAGTAAGTTAACAGGATTTGGCTCTAGCATACTTTAGAGCTTGAATTCGATATATGATTAAATATATCTAGAAGGGTTTGTAAAGGGGGTAAAGAACCTATTCTGGATACATTTATGGAATTTTGTCCCAGAACCCTTCTTTATGCACTACTAGGTTTTATTATCAATCGCCTGCCAAACCTCTTGAATCTTTTGCCAAAAATCTGGCAAACTCAAAATTTGTTCAGTGAGATTTCTCAACCGACGGTTGATTTCGTCCTACAGGTTTTCAATCGGGTTGAGATCGGGGAATTGGGGGCTAATTGAAGAACTTCACTTTATTCCTCCTAAGCAAACGGTTTGTCAAAATCGCCATATGACAAGATGCTCTATCTTGTTGGAAAGTCATCGCACCAGCTTCAAATTCTTGATCCCTGATCATCCACATCAGGTTTTCACAGATTATCTGCTGATATAAGTTACCGTCTATCGTGTCATCAACCTTGCAATAGCTACCAACAGCACAGGCACTAAAATACCCCCAAATCATAACTAAACCACCTCTGTATTTCACAGTGGGCTTCACGTAGAACTTGTTTAATGGTTCTCTGTAATGCTTCCAATAGTATTGCTTACTATCTGATCCAAAAATTTTAAATCTAGATTCGTTGGACCAAATTACTTTAGACCAATCGTTGATGGTCCAATTTTCGTACTTCTTTGCAAAAGCAAGCTGCGCTTTTCGATGACTGTTGCTCAGATATAGTTTTTTTTTTTTACCTCCAACACTAACCCGTGGCTATGAAGTATATAGTGAATTGTATATACCGAAATATCCATACCTGCATTTTTTGCGAGGTAGGCTCTCACTTCAACGGCAATGGAGCACTTACGGGAGGTAATAAGGTTCACTATTCTTCTTTGGATTGGTTCACCCAATGAAGGTGGGCGACCAACCCTTTCTAAATCTTGGAGCACCCAATTTTCAAGCCACCTTTTTTTGATTTGCGAGACAGTGGAGGAGGCAATATGGTGAGCCCGGCTTATAGCCCTCATCATGTATCCCTTTTGTAGCAAGAGCAAGATTTGTGCTCTTTGGGCAGAAGTGGTATGGTTCTTTTTTTTGCTTTTTTGCACATGATGCAATATCAGACAAAGAAAATCTATTTATAAAAATGTGTTATATAGTACACATAAGCCATCTGATCTTTGGAAAAAACAAGCAAAAATAATGCATCACATGTTTTGTAATACACGCGTGATTATTTTCGAATTGGCAATATAGATCTTTAATAAAATTCTACAAGTAAATAGCAACGCCATTCACAAATAAAATAAAAAAAAATAAAATAATACACCCAGAATTGCGAAAAATAATGCGATCTAGGTAAAATTTTTTTTTGATGCATTATTTATGATTGCCAGTGTATTGTGTGATTATATAGAGGTAATTCTATTTAATCACCCTCTATATAATCACCAAAAAGTGCTAGACAAAATGAGTGATTATATGGAGGTATGACTGTACTTCTTTTTTGTTTATTCGTAGTAGTTTTCTTTTTTTTTGAAAAGTACTTTAAACTGTATAAATAATGTAAAATTAAATTGATTTAAACTGCTAATTATACGAATGTCTGCCTATGACATCACAATGCCCAACATACTGGTTATGAAACCCAAATTAGAAGCGCGTCATCTTATATTAAGAGGTTTCAGAATTAAACTTTGTAAATCTTATTTTGATAAAATAAGATGACGTATTTATTTTGAAATAAGTGATGCACAAATCCTATTAAAATTCGAATACACTTATTTATATGAGTGTCGACAAAAGAGAGCCCAACAATTTAAATATAGACTATATTTAAATTGTCAGGTTTTCTTTTGGCGACACTCATATGATCTTCATAATGTTAAGTGGGAAAAACGCACGCCTTAAAATCCCTACTCGTTAGGGTAAACCGGGAAAGGGTTTGCATAATGTTCAACGAGAATACTGTAATGTCTCGAAAGAGGACGTTCGATTTGGCGGAGCCAAATAGATAGTTTATTAATTATGATGTTTGTGAGACACCTTACAACTTAATAAATGCTCACACTTATATACTAATTACATATCTACATAATATGCTATATTCGCTAATTATACTAACTATTCTATATATGCTATATGTGCTAGTTATGCTATTTCGGTCAAATCTGCTATTTATGCTAAATCTACTTGATATGCTATTTTCGCCAAATCTGCTATATAGACTAATTATGCAATGTAAATAATTATGCAATCGATCCACTATTTGCGCCTAATGCATCGTTGATCCATTCTTAATCGTTACAATATTAATCGATACTGTTTCTAATACCGTTTTATGCTTAACATGACTAAAATTTCACATCGACAACATCAAATTAAACAAATAAATAATCTTTTAAAGACACTTATGAAAGGCTATTACTAAATTTCTGGATAAAGAAATTGACGAACTATTTGAATTAATACAAGCCATAGAATTGGATCGATATCTTACAATACGTGAAAGAACAATGATTAAATTTAACGATTTTTTTCAAGTAAGCTATATAAAAAAAAAATATAGGCGAAACTTAATAAGTTATATAAAAATACTTTAAGTAAAAGTTCAGTAAGTAACATAAAAAAATAATTTGAGCGAAGGTTTAGTAAGTTATATAAAAAAAATAATTTGAGCGAAGGTTTAGTAAGTTATATAAAAAAATACCTTAAGTGAAGGTTTATAAGTAATTTGAGTAAAAAATTTGAGTAAAGTTCAATAAATAATTTGAGCGAAGGTTTAGTATGTTATATTAAAAAATACCTTAAGTGAAGGATCAGTAAGTAATTTGAGTGAGGATCAATAAATAATTTTGAGCGAAGGGTATAAAAAATAATTTGAGCGAAGGTTATAAAAAATAATTTGAGCGAAGGTTATAAAAAATAATTTTAGAGTAAGTTCAGTAAGTAATTTGAGCGAAAAGCTTTATTATTACTCTGTATTTTGTTATTAAATAGTTTGTTGATCTGCATAATAAAAAAAATTTTACTTATTTCGTCAACACTCCCATTTCATTTTCCGATTTCAAAATTTTGATACATAAATAAGATTTTTTAAACTCTTATTTATTTCCGACATACGCTAATTTTTTTTTTTAATTTTGAAACCCCTTATTAGTAACTATTCCTATTTTTCTGTAGAGGATTTCGAAATATTTCAAATTCATAAAAAGGCCTTATAGACTTTTGCCGTTTAAAATTTTTTTTACTGTATTTAGCATTCACACATTTTTGTTTTTTTTTAAAAAAAAATTAAGTATCAATAAATACGACAACTGATTTACAGCTATAAGTTTTTTTTACTGGAAATTAATGAAAACAGTTTACGTGTCGAATTAAAAGCTAAAGCAATTATTTTAAAGTCCTAATTTTAATAGCTTAATTTTATTTGATTTACAATAAAAAATAGTTGATGCAAATTTAAATAACTAATACACAAAAAAATAATAAAAATCAATTATTTGATACATAGTCACCAAAAAGCTAGCTAGTCATTTCAGCTTTGTTATTGTTAACGACGACATTTCCTTTTAATCTATTTGTAGCTTCTTCGAATTCCATTATCTATTGCATTTTTGGTACCAAAATCTTGCTAATTGATTATGTTACTAACATCTACAAGATTACATTGTCCAAGTGGAATCTTATGATTCGCAGATGTTTTCATGATGTTTAAATACTTTTTTTTAATCCTTTTCAATCCCTAAACCGTTTTCAAAAACATAGATCTAAATTATTACATGCGACATACATCTCATGCCATAAGATTCTTCAACTAAAATATTTGGTAGCTTTACGTTTATCAATATTGACATCTATTCCATTCAAATAGCAAAATCCTAAAGTATTCATCGTTTTTTTTTATTCATATGTAACTAAAATTGTATTTGTACTCTGTTAATAAGCCAAATGTAAATAATAAAATAATGACTGTGATCCAAAGTCTAATAGAATTCTAGTTAAATTATATAAAAAGATTTTGTTTTTGATCTATGTGCAATGATACAAGCAACAGAAAAAGTGCGTATATAATATAACCAGTATTTGTAAAAATTTGTCAATTCATATATAGCAAAAATGATGATTATAATCTTTAAAAAAAATTTTAATTATTGCAATAATAATGATAATTGCCATTATTCTGTGCTTAATGACACAGGTAACTACATAGATAATTAAAGATAATGTTAATTACAAAATATTTATTAAAAATGTAATTTGACCAAGTTTAAAGATCACAAAAATTAGTAAAGTTGACTATTTGAATATTTCTCAAAATAATTTATAGATTACCAATATGCGATCATTTTGTAAAAAGTACCAAGTATAGAAAACTCATAGCGCTTCTTAAGAGATATTATAGAAATTGGACAATTAACCAAATTATTTGAATATATCGGTGTAATATCAGATACTTGATCTAGTGAAGTTATTTTCTTCTCTGGTAATTTAATGACAGTGATATTAAAAACGGACCACATAGCACTATAATCTTTAAAACCCGGAATTGTACTAGGTAATATGGATATTGTTGCGTAATTTTTATCGAGTACATGATAGATAGGTGCAGTAGCATTGCCAATAGGATTTATACCAAAATCAAAATAACGAACAGGTCCACCATTATAATAACCAAACTTTGCTGGACCATCGTCAGGATAGGTCAATTCAGCGGAGAAGCCAACTTTTAAAAGAAAATTTTCCAAGAATTAATTAGAATCTTTAAACCATAAAAAAAAAAACAAATCAATATCTATATCACATACCAACAGGAAGATTAAGATAGATATCTGTAAAGTAAAGTTTTACTTTGTTACCGAGTCTTTTCAGACTTTCATACGATGTAATGTGAGGATCCTTCTCATTGTTACCAATGACTATGACAGCTTGTTTTAGATCAGAATACCCTTTATCACCAGGAATAAAATCAATAATATTTGGTTGCAAAACATTAGAAATATCATCGTGAATGTCTTTAAGAAATATATATATAGGGTTAAAGGGAAAGAACTTAGGAACAAGCTGTCCATTAGTATGAATTGCGTCAAATGCATATACTTCAACTGGATAATCATAATAATAACCGGTTTCTAAGTCATAAGTTATATTTTCTAGATCATAAGGATTACCGGCAATTACGTGATTGCTTAAAGTAAATATGACTAAAATAAAAGCGCCAAGTGTTTTAAAATACATTTGATTTATTCTAAATATTTAGAATTACAGTAAAAATCATCATAATAACTGATTCATATTTAAATGCTTTGTTGATAGTATCATCTATGATTATGTAAGTAGGAAAAATAGGCAAAAAGAAAAAATGCTTCTATGGTTAACACCAAAATAGTAATAAATATACATGTAGGTTAATGTCATGTGCGTAAATTAATGCCAAAATAGTAATATATATCTATTTATGTATATAGGCTAATGTTATCTGTTATTTCTATTTTGAGTGTTACATAATTTTATTACACAAAGATTAAACTTTCGATGTAACGGAAGGCAGAATATTTAGAATTAAATAGTACAAATTAAAACAATCTTTCGATTTTTGGAACAGAAAATACTACGAAGGGTATTACAGGTATAAATTACTAAAAAGTTAGACATAACATGGACAGCCCGAAAATCTTACATTTTACGATGTTTTTGTTTTGGTTTTAATTATCCACCTTAATTACTGTGGATCTGATATAATTAAAATTTATAGATTTGGCAATTGATTAAATTTAAAATATTACGTATTAGAACAATTTTATATTTCCTAATCGGAAATAATCAGTTGGAATTACTGTAAGCAAAGTTTTAAGAAAGTAGCTTATTTTTAAAATTCAGAACAATTATAGCATATGCTTAAACTTTATTTTTATGTTTAGCTATTACTTTTTATCAGTTATATATACTTACGTACATATATACGTATTTAATAACTTCTATAACTGATAGTTTGCAGTTAATAATTTGCTAAAATAAAATACCTGCAACCAATAAAATACCATCCCTAACCCTATGTAATGTTGATTGCCTGTAGGGGGGAATGATTTTCGGAATGAGCAGCTATCTTTCTGCTAACATAGTGACTGTATTTATGTAACGTTACTAAAGAATTCTGGCTTTTCAGTTTTATTTCCTATTTTTATTTTTGTATATCATACTGTATTACCGTAAATAATCTTTCTTTACGTGCGTACGGGAAAAGGTTATTCAAATACATCGTATGTTCATTATAAAGAATATAGTATAGTTGCAAAATGACATATGCATTAGTTATATTTATACTTATAAATGCTCGTCCACTAATATGAAGAACTAGTGCATTAGGAAATATGTAATTTTTCAAGAATTATTCATTGTTGAAATAATTAAAAATTCTGAAAATTCATATGCTATTTATAGTATTAATAATCTTTAAATTTTGACTATATTAATATATACAAATAAACAAATTTAAATCCTCTAATGCTGATTAATAAAATGTTCATGAACTAAATAAATATGAATCATGTCATTCGACATACTGTAGATCAAATAAATTCATCATCTACTAAAATTGTAAATTGACTATGAAGCATACTCTGTGGCGTGACTTTTGTTCTGTGGTTTTTCAATTAGTATACACCTTGACTTATTTTCTATTATTGTTCAAATTTCATATAATAGCGAAATATTTTCTCATCTGTCTCACATACTTAACTAACTACCGTATAGTTCCGAAATTAAGCACCACCTACTTTCCGAGCTTCATTATAAAAATCTTCAAACTCGGGAAAGTGGTGATCCCTCTACCCCAAAATTTGAATCTCAGATTAGCGGAATTTGTAATAAGATCTTCGGCCAAATTACTCCCGCTAATCTGAGATTCAAAAA